TCTGTCTTGATTAAGGGGGAGGTTGTGTCCAGTGGCTCTCAGCAGGCCACAGAGTCTGAAACTCCAGTCCCTGCAGCAACGGAAACCACGGATCCTTTGTTTTACCCTAGTTGGTATAAAGGCCCAAGCTGGAAAGCTGCCAACCCACCTTCCACCTCAGGGAGTGAAGGTGTGGGACAAGTAGGGCCTCCAGGTTCTGAGGACCTGAATGAGCATCACACAGACGTGGCAGAAGGCGCAGCCAGTGAGAGGGCAGCAGAGAGTGGTAAGGAAACTAGTTCACCTGCAGCTACTTCTCAGGTTAGTGTTGATGCTCTTGTGTCTGATGCTTTCCTGTGCTGCCAAGGGCCCTGGGGGAAACACAGGGCTTCTGACAGGACAGAGAGAAGTCCATTGCCTTGGGGGAAATGAAGGAGCAACTCACCCCCATGCTGACATGTTTTGGAAAGCATTATGTGAAAGGAAAATGAAAACAGATTTGATGTCACCCTGACTTTGAGACCTTACACCTGGCACCACAGGGCAGGGGCAGGAAGTGGCTTTGTCTGTGGTGACTGGCGAGTGGCCCTGTTGTGTACCCTTGCTCGGCCTTTGGGCTTCCAAGCACTAATCACCTGCTTTTGTGCAGTTCCCAGCAACTCCCAAAGAGCATGTGTGAATCAAGGTTTCAATCTGCTCTGGAAAATAACCTCTGACTGAAAAATTCTAGAAGGATCTTGGCCACAGCTAGACAAAGATAGCCTTGGCTTAAAATCGCCTTAAACTGCGGAACAGCTGGTCGCCTTGAACTGCATGCCTTCGGGTTTGCAGTGCAACTTCTTGCCACTAGGCCACCAAAGCTGCCTTAAAGAAACTGATGCTTTCTAAATATGTGCTCCTGAAGAAAGAATTTTCTTTTTCCACTCCACATGTTAAAGGAATCTTTTATACCATGTTTCCTTATTCTTTTATAATGAATGCTTGAGGTCTTACATCTTCACCCTACCTGGGGATAAATGTCTACATGTGTCCAAGACTTCAAGGAAGAAATCTCTTAGGATTTCTTCAGGAGAAAGAATGCTCATGGTTGCTCCATACTCATAAATAATCTTAAATGATGTGTGTCATTTAAGGGTTACCTAGACAAGGGGGTTATCAAAGAAATACACGCTAGCTCCATGCTCCTGGGTCTTCAGGTGATGATAAGTAGCATTTTTTTTTTCAAAACAGAAAATTATGTAATATTCGGATTCTGAGGTACTTTCTTATGTGAACCTCAGTCTGATGAGGAAATAAATGATGATTGGGAAGTGAAAAAAAAATCATAAGATTTTCTGCCAGCTATTTATTCTCATAGATGAAAAATAGCAGAAAGAAATTTTTGGTGTGAAGAAAACATGGGGGGAAAATTGTTGAAGTAAAAGATATCAAACAAAAGTTCTATTTTAACTGTTTTTAAGTGACATTAATTACATTTTCTATGTTTCTATGTTGTATAACAGTCTGTACATTCCACCTCCAAAGTGAGGGAAACTTTCAAGGTGATTATTAGAATTCTCTATGTGGTAGAAGTTGGATGAGTGGGAGTTGTTTTCTGAAAACAATAATTAATATAATAGTCCATGAAAAATATGTAGTAGTTATTCAGAATCAAAATAAAAAAACCAAACCCATCTAAATGGTACTGAAAAAAAACTCTTTGTGTGATAATATCAGTGAAGCTTTCTTCTTGTTTTCTCACAGGAGTTAGGAATCTGCCTAGCACTTTTGGCTTTTCTTATACTTCACTACATCTGGCGTCAGATTCAGTGCTTGATTTTTACTCTAATGGGTAGGAAATATTTTTGTTTCTCTTGACTAACATCTCCTGTAACTTCATCCATAATGTTCCTCTTCTGGAAACCCAGAGAAGAATTTCTCTCCAAAACCTGAGGCTCAGCATCTACAAAGAATCCTGTTGGTAGGCAGTACTCATGGTTCCAAACACCCTACAATTAAAATGCTTCAAGGCCCCTTCCTGAGGAGAAATTGTCCTTTATCAAGTCACCTGTGGAGGACACCCTGACTCAGAATACTCAGTGGGCAGTTATTCAATAATGCAGCAGGACTGAGCCCTTTAGTTTCAAATAGTGTTGATAAGAATTCACTGCTCTTAAAGTAGAAGGAGGGGTAGTCGTTGGGTGCCATAGAATGGGTCCTGACTCACAGCTACCCCGGGTAATGGCATAGGATGTCCTTATATGGTTTTCTTGCCTGTAGTATTTATGGGACCAGATATCCAGGATTTTATTTCACAGGTCCATTGGGTGGATTTGAACAAACAACTTTTTGAATAGCAGGTGAGTACTTACTTGTTGCATCATGAGGGCTCCTTCTATAAAGACTTGTTTCTTCATTTACATGGAAGAGGCCCAGGAGAAGACTGAGTGACTCCGGCTATAGCTGATTCCTGCACTGACTGGTAGGAGATGAACTGGGGGACTTCTTGGTCCTTTTGTACCCTTGGACCCACTGTCTCTGTCCTTGGAGATGGTCAGGGAGACTTCTAAAAGAAAGGCATCCTGAGTGAAGCAACATCAGGGATTACAGACAGGTGACCTGAATTAATATAGAGCCAGAAGATTAGCATTCACCTCCTGGTCAGAAAGGATTCCAAACAAAGAAAAGCTATGAAGTATATTACTAAGTTACTTTTCTCATGGCTAAAGCTTCTAAAACAAACAAACAAACAAAAACTGTTCTATGGATTGACATCTTACTCCTTTTATATTCCTTTATTGTTATCAGTTTAATAAATAATATTTAAAGATTCAGCCCTATGTGCTAGTGTGTAAATGCCCCCACTGAGGCTGATAGCCAGCTCCCTGAGCTTGTGGCTCAGAAACAGCCCAGGGTCACTGGTAGTGAAAAGACTCGACTATTTTTGGTACATTGACTTTTCTCTGTGTTGACTTTAACACTTCTTTGAAGTTGTTCATCCTAGAACTCCTTTCTCCCTTATTAGCAGTCCTCTGCAGTGGTGGGGAGATCTGCATGGGCCCCACCACATCTGTAATTGTGTGGTAACAGGACCTGTGTCCAGTGTCTAACAGGCAGCCAGCAGCCTTTGTGCCCTACGATGCCCTGATGTCAGTCTTAAGGTCTCCCTCATCACTATCCTGTTAACTGTTAACTACGGACTCAATGGGGTGAATGAGGATGGCGGGGGAGAGAAATTAATGATTTATTGGCATGAGGACCCAATTATGGAACTGAATAATTGTGGGAAGAGTTCAGCAGTCATTCTGAGTATTTGGGTCTGGGCCTTAACTACCACATGTCCTTGCAATTCTTTTCTGGGGCTGAAGAGGAAGCATCATGCTTTGTGGCAGCTGCCCACTTAGCCCATTTCATATTTGCTGACCTGCCTGGTTGGGGCGGTGGGGGTGAGGCAGAATGGGGGTAGGATGGAGCATGTAAACTGGTATTGAGTATTTTGTGAGGGACCTTGCTTGTGCAGTCCTCAGTGGTGGAGGAAGCACAGAGAAGGAACACTATCCCTGATGGAGTGTCATTCTTTGACTCCTTGCCAGTGAGGTCATTTTTTGGCCTCTCTGTGGGTTTCTATAGGCCTGCTTGACCTTTACTACCTGAGAACCCAGCTCCTTAAATTCCCATGTGCAAGGTCCTCTTGGAATTTGAAAATTCATCATGAGTCTTTCTCTGAACATTTAAGATGTGATAGAAAAGTTCTTAATTCACTGCTGTGCTTACCTCTCCTCACTGTATGGCCCTAAGTGTGTGAGTGATGTTGCCTTAGAAATGCAGACAGATGTCAGGCTCACTTGCTTGTCTGTCAACACTGTAGCCCCATCAATTAAACTGCAAACCTTTGGAGAAGACAAAAATTCTGTTTCCCAGTACTTCCTCATCTCTGCCCGTATAGCAAAGCTTCCTTTTGCTTTTGCTGCCTGTTATTTCCAATACTGGATAAGCCGACCTTCTTTTGTCACCCCATCATGTATGCCGTTTAGAAGGAAGTTAAGAAGGAAGTGGGCATGACAAGAAGCAGACGTCAGATCCCTCCTTGTTAGATCAGGGAAGTGCTTGATGAGCCTCCCCTCTATTTTCAACAAGGTATAGAGAATTAGAATCTGTTAAGAACTTGTGGTTCCCATCCAATCTTCTGCAGGAGGTGCAATGAGTGGTAACCCCACCCCCCTTCATACAGAAAACCCTGGGAAAGATCACAGGTTACACTGTGTATGTGGGCTTTCATTTCTCTCTCCCAGCTTCCCAGCTCAGGCAGTTGAAAGAGAGTTTGGTAGAAATAATATCGGAGTTGTTTCATTCATTAAATGTTCAATTTATTTTAGAAGAACGACACCCTACCCCTCACCAACCTGGGTACACAGGGCAATGATAAGTGAGGAGAAAGGTGCAATGAGACTGTTCTCTGTCCTGAGAAACATGCTCTGGAAGGCCCTGCTGTGACCACTTTTCCAGTCCAATCTGTCTCCGCCACTGCTCTCACATTCATACACTCCTTCCCCACAAAGTACACCTGGTTGTTACCACAAGAATTGGTCCCCTTACTGTGAACACCTGGGCGCTTTACCCGAAATAGGTGAGACAATTTTCCAAAGGTGAAAGAACAATTGCAATGGGACCCTCATTCCTACTCCCCTTCTTCTCTCTCCAGTGTGGCTTTAGTGGCCTGGCATTGAAGACTTTGTCCAGACCATTTAACAGGAACTGTTCAGGGAACAAAGGTTTCCAGAGAAATGCCTCCTGCTCTGTGGGATTAACTTGGCAACTGTTCTGCCTGATACTTGAGCTGGACCACAGCAGCTGCCTCAAAGTCAGAGGACCGCCAGTCCCAGCTGAGAGCCATTCACATTGAAAATGGGCCTTTGGCCTTGACAACCCTGCAACTATTGCTCTGTGCAGAAGCACAAGATCTACGCTCACATGCTCCACAGCAGCAGTACAGTTGACCAGATCATAGTTGTGGCAGATCCTAAAGCTTTACTGTATCATAGAGATACACTGTTTCATAAATAAGATACCCAGGTTTTTTTAAATTGAGATTTTAATGAACGTTTATAAAGAATTTGGATTTCCAGTCATTCATTGTTGCACATTTTCCTCTCTGCCCCACCCAACCAGTTTGCTTTTTCCTTGGGAAAAATTTCTTTTTCATTGTTATACAGTCCCCCGCCCCAGACCACTTTACTTTTTATGCAGCTCTTATTCTGGACTCTTGTCATGCCATTAATATCTAATTACATATTCCTTTGATACAGTTCTCTCTTTCATCTGTTTCAATGTCACATGCATTA